AAATTGGAAGGAACAGTGGAGGGCTGCCTTATTTCTTCCACTGCAGTACAACTTCCCATACCAATCGATGGTGACTTTCGCAGGCACTACTGCAGAATGCAGGCTAGTGACGTTGGGGCCTGGTGGGACCCCAGCTGTCTACTTTGTGACTATGTCATCCTCAGGAGGGAGATACCAGCTAAAATCATCACTACCCGTGGGAAATGGTGCTAGTGCCCTGCACTAGGAGCCACAAAACCAGAAGTTCCATGCAAGTGATCAATTCCTTCCTCATTCCCCCACGGCCTTGCTGGCCCATTCTCACCCTGGCTAGGCTGAGCAGAGGTGTCAATAAGCAGGTCTTATTTAAAACTTATGGGGAGCAAGCGATGGGAGTTCTCACACTTGACTTTTGCTTTCCATTGTGACTATAAACACAATGGTACATCTCGGTGATTTGACGGCAGCTGCGGCCTCAAGGGGTTCCCCTCCACCCCCATGAACACCTGACCATGATCCAGAGGAGTAGGAAGAGGACCCAGGCAAGATACGTTCTCAGAGATCCGGCATCAGACCAGGCGCAGAGGGCCTGGAGGATGAGTATTTCAGACACTATGGAGAAGGAAAGAGAGGAGAGGAGAAAGGCTCAGGAGTCCCAGCAGGGAAAGGAGGAGATGCAGCAGCAAGGGCGCCCTTCCCTCCCTTAGCATCCAGGGCATGGGTCGAAAGGCAAGCCACATCTGGGAGCGCACAGAAGCTGCCCCCTCTACACACCCAAAATGGCGCCCTTCTGCACCAGAACCTAATGGGGCTTCTCCAGCAGCAAACACCGGTGTTGCAGATTTTCGTTGACCAGCAGGTTCTATATGCACAGGCTCCGCTACCTTTGCAGTCAATCAAGAACTCCACCATAGCATCCATCCCCCAGTATTCTTCGTGGCCACATCCTGACCCCTTCTACTGCAGTAGATAGTAAGGACGCTCACAATTTCATATACATGGCCCGGGAGAGCCGTGGTTCCTATGTGGGTAGCACGTATGGACTGAAATTGACAAGAATGTTCTTTTCCTTGTTACATTCTGTGCCATTCATCTATTTGAGACATTTTTTATTATATTTGCTTTTAAATTGTGCATATTTTGCACTCGTTTTGGTACTCAGTAAAATTCTATTCTTAAATTAATTCATTGTTATTACTACACCACATATGATGCACAATGAGGCAGACTGAAAACGTCCACTCTTAGGGTATGTCTACACTACAGCGCTAATTCGAACTAACTTAGTTGGAATTAGTTAATTCGAACTAAGCTAATTCGAACTAATGCATCCAGACTTAAAAACTAGTTTGAATTAGCGTTTTGCTAATTCGAACTAGCATGTCCACACAGAGTGGACCCTGAACAGAGGTTAAGGATGACCGGAAGCAGTGCCGGCAGGGCATCAGATGAGGACTTAGAGCATGGAGCTGCTGTCTCAGGCTAGCTGAGGGCTGTGCTTAAAGGGTCCCGACCCCCACCCCGGACAGACAGTTCTCAGGGGTGCCCCGCTTGCAAAGCAGTCCTGGCTTGAAGTGCCCGGAGAACCCACACTTGGCATATCACAGCACTCGGCCATCAGCCCGGCTGCACTTGCCGCAGGCTGCCATCTGGGGAGAGGGGGCAATTGGGGGGCTGCAGAAGAGCTTCCACGCCCAGAAGCCCGCAGAGCCAGCCCAGTCCTCCCCATTGGGGGCTCGTACCCCATTCCTCCCTCACCTCCTTCCACTTACCCTTCCCTAGCCCCCCTTCCTGATGTACAAAATAAAGAAAACGTGTATTCAAAAATAGAATCTCTCTTTATTGAACAAAACTGGGGGAGACTGGGAAAAGGAGGTGGGAGAGAGGAAGATAGGGGGTGGGAGAGGGGAGGGCAACTACAATGATCAGGGGTTTGGAACAGGTCCCATATGAAAAGAGGCTAAAGAGACTGGGACTTTTCAGCTTAGAAAAGAGGAGACTGAGGGGGGATAGGATAGAGGTCTATAAAAGTATGAGTGGTGTGGAGAGGGTGCATACAGAAAAGTTCTTCATTAGTTCCCATAATAAAAGGACTAGAGGACACCAAAGGAAAGGAATGGGTAGCAGGCTTCAAACTAGTAACAGAAAGTTGTTCTTCACAAAGCAGATAGTCAACCTGTGGAACTCCTTGCTGCGGGAGGCTGTGAAGGCTAGAACTAGAACAGAGTTTAAAGAGAAGTTAGATCAAGTCATGGAGGTTGGGTCCATGGAGTGCTATTAGCCAGGGGGTAGAAATGGTGTCCCTGCCCAAAGTTTGTGGAAGGCTGGAGATGGATGGCACGAGATAAATGGCTTGGTCATTGTTTCAGTCCATCCCCTCCAGGGTCCCTAGTGTTGGCCGCTGTCGGCAGACAGGCTACTGTGCTAGATGGACCTTTGGTCTGACCCAGGACGGCCATTGTAAGCTCAGGGCTCAGGGTCGGGGGTCTCAGTGGACCACCTTGATTTTCATGCACACCTGCTCCTGGGTGGCCAGGCTGGCAGCTCTCCTGCCCTAGACGGCCACTTTCCTGTGCCTAGTGCGGAGTTCGTGGATGCTAGCTGGGTGCTGGCAGGCTTGCACCTGGCACGGGCACCGTAGCCAGCCCGTGCCCCTTTAAGAGGTCCGGGGCCGGGAGGGGGGCAATATAGTTTCCCTGGTGTTGGCCAGAGTGGCCACCAGGGAAACCTGGGGAGGGCTAGCCTCCCACTAGTTCGAATTAAGGGGCTACACACCCCTTAATTCGAACTAGTAAGTTCGAACTAGGCTTAGTCCTCGTAGAATGAGGTTTACCTAGTTCGAACTAAGTGCTCCGCTAGTTCGAATTAAGTTTGAACTAGCGGAGCGCTAGTGTAGCGCCTGTCAAAGTTAATTCGAACTAACGTCTGTTAGTTCGAATTAACTTTGTAGTGTAGACATACCCTTAGTTATTGTACAGGGCAGTAGAACTCATAGGGTCAGTGTCAAAGAGTGTAATAATTATAAATGTGCTGCAAGCACCACGCTATTAACAGGTGCATTAACCAACAGTGCTATATTCATCCATGTACACCAAGCACCACCCAATTCCTGACAGGCCCCCAAACTTGAGGGCCAGGTGGAACACAATCTACCACCACACATTACTGTGAGCATTGAAGTGCTCTTCCAAGACTTCCTTAAGGCACATAGCTCCACACTGCCCTCTTCCAAGCGTACCTTGTATCTGGCATAACATCTGTGAGGCTAAAGGGGGCACAAGTTGCCTCCAGGGTGGAGGGTAAAGTTGTCTGCTGACTTTGAGCAGCCAGACACAACGGGTAACTATAACCATTGGCATATTTTTCTCACTGAGAGCCAATCCTGTCAGTAAACTTCTCCAGCAGCCCGTGAGGCTCCTGAAAGTGCACTCAGCTGTCATTCTGCATGTGCTAAGACAGTAGCTGTGTGTTTCCTCCGTGCTGTCAAGCTGGCTCATATACGAGTACATGAGCCTGGGGAGCAAGGGAGAGGCTAGATCCCCTCAGAATCTCTACATTCCAGCATCACCAATGATAATTCTGCAGTCTGGAAGGAATGTCCCACCCAGGGCCCCTGATGGGGGAGGGAGGAGCAAAAGGGGCAGCTGCCCCTGGGCCTGGCTATTTAAAAGGGCTCCCAGCCATTGCCATGGCTACTGCTGCTGCAGCAGCAGCTGGAGCCCTAGGCCCTTTAAATTGCCTCGCGAGTCCCAGGTGGTGAGGGCCAGGCAGCACTGAAGGGCTTGCTAGGGGAGGCTGGCTCCTGGCCTATCCCACCTGAGCCTGCCCCCACCTTGCCCAGGGCCCCAGCAATTCTGACAGCAGCCTGGTCCCAGCTGGCCCCTTTCTGAACAGTATTGTGTTCTCGAGCTGAGTCATGCACCTTCCATGGCCACCTCGCACTGATATCAGGGAGGTGTCCCAGTGAGCCACCAGCGGTTGCTTATCCCCAGAAAAGTAACACTTTCTGCGTATTTGCATGCCAGCAGCTCCCACGGTGGATTTTCCAACTCCAAAGTTATTTCCCTCCGGCTAGTAGCACTCCAGGGCTGCAAACTTCCCTTGGGCGACTGCCATTCACTTCTGTGTGGTCAGAGCAGCTCTCATCCTGGGGTCCCTGTGCTGAAGGGCGAGGGTGAACTTCACACCCATCCAGGAATGTGGCCTCTCTCATGCAAAAGTTCCTGCAGCCACCATTCACCATCCCAAAATGTGACTCCCACCAGACAGTTCTTATTTCTCGGACCCAGGCATGGCCCTCTGCCATCTGAACATCACTGACAACCTTGGCCTGGTTTGCGCTATGTCCAGCAGCAATGTGTCCTCCACAACACTGCCCTGTTTCACATAGCTGGGGGTTTCTTCTTGCGGCACTGCACATATGGGAAGGTCATTCCTCCGATGTTTGCAGTCCTCCTGACAATACGGCAGAGCTGTGCAGGCTCTGGTGACCAGCAAAACCACCATGCAGGTTTGTGAGACTTTCCAACAAGGTGCAAATACTATGGGTTGTGTGGGGAGAAAGTTGCATGATGGAAACTTGACCCCAGTCTCAAGCACCATTGCATGACTTGTTTCTGTCCCTCCATGCAGTACAAAAATTTCCCCTATGACAGTGCACCTAACAATGGTGAGTTGCACACGGGGATCCATAATCATGATGCACTTGCACTATTCCTTGGCAAACACTTCCGGTGAGCACATGCTGTGCTGACACAAGCGCCCAGATATGCATGTATGCAAGTGCTAGCCTAACGTGGTACCTGATGCTGATATAACTTGCATCAATCAATATTTGTAGTGTAGACATAGCCTTGGACCCACTATGTTTATTAGAAGATGTCTCCTAAGGAAGGGCTTCCTGAGTTTAGAAACACTGCTCCAAGAAGATAAGAACAGTGTTGTGTATCTAAATCAGATAATCACACACGCCTCACAGTAAATACAGGCTAATATCATGGTATGCTTTATTTTCTCTTTAGAATTAACCAAAACATCCAGGAAAGTAAGCAGGAAAGAGGCAGAGAAGAAGAAAGCATCCAAGGTGTGTGACTATTCTCTTAACACTGTACAGTTCTTATGGCCATAGTAATATTATTACACCTTTCCTCGGCGTATGTTTTCGACAGGTTTGCAGGGCCTCCTGCCAGTACTAAATAAAGTCAATTCAACAACTGTACAAAATCAATAGCACAATTCTAAGTAAATGAAATAAATCCAAAAAGGCTTGACACAAAATAAAGAAGTGTTAATACATTAGTTCATAATTTTTCAGTGTTTTTAAAGAAAAATATTCTTTTCTGCCATCAGCCCAAGTTTAGATAAATAGAATTGTGGCTCAAAAGTTACAAAATAGTAAGTGACAGAGATAATATAAACTTACAATTTGTTACAGGTGCATGGCACACAGTTGTTCTGCAGTCCCCTTTCAGAGATGTCCAAGAAAGCTTTAAAAATACATATAAAAGAAAAAAGGCAGAGAAAAGTCAAAGGAAGCTTCCTAGACAAATCGTCACAAGTCAAAGTCTGCAAGCTTTTAACTCGTACTGATTGGTTGAGCCAATCAGAAGGTAGTTTCCAACCACGTGGCCTTTTGAGGACTCATATAAATCTTAAAACAAGATTATGTTTTCCAGAGCCAGTCTGAAAGATTTTCTAACCCCATTTTATGGAATTATACTTTGCAGCATATTATAATATTGGTATTGTTAAAACACCACTCTGAAGAAACATGCATCTCGATTTCTTTATCAAAATGTTTACAAACCCTATGTAAGTTTCACAGTTTGCCTTATTTATTTATTTTATTTCTGGACCAGGAATCAAACTTCCTTTTTTTACATAATTTCATTAGCATTTGTCTTTAAAGCTTATAGACATACACTCATGAAGTTGTGTGGGTAGCTTTTGTTCCAATTACATTTATTCTGTTTAGCAAAGCAATGTATGGTTTCATAATTTGTATATTAATTGAAATTAACACCCATTGGTTTACTCTTTATAACAGGATTGTTACATTTAGTAGAACTTGCTCTAAATGAATTGCATAGCATTCAAAAAACAAATGAACACAATCTTTTCAATGTTTAATATATAGTTTTCCTTTATTAGAGGTTAAATTTTATATTCCTTGAATAAAGAAATATACATGCATGCTTCTTTTGATATTATTGCTTTAATTTATATTTTAATATGCTTCAATATATACTGCCACAAAAGGCCTTAGGGTTAGAAACTACCTAGGAAAAATATGCATTTTCCTCTAAAAATGAGAAAAGGCATAAAATCTATATTTATTCATTGAATTTTTAATGATTTCCAAAGGGTAAATTAATTACAATTGTTTTAAAACCTCTTTTTAAAAAAGTAGCTGAATGGTACCATAATGATGATATGCATGCCACAATGAAATCAAGATGCTCTGGAAGAAAAAGAAAGGGTAGGAGAAAATCCCAGCACCACACAACTAACTCACTGGATAAAAAGTGGGTAGGATAAAAGGAAGAGCAGGCAGTCTAACACGGGGGTCTGTTGGTGCAATATAGCAGTGGAAGAGAAACCTGTCAAAACCTGTCAAAAATCCATGCTAAGGAAAGTATAGCGGTATCACTACTAATGGCTAAATGCTTTAATAGCAACCTATGTGTGAATAGTCCTTGCATCAGAAGTGTTTCATCTTTTCTTACAGCCTTTGGTCAAACATAAATTATATTTATTTTAACAAGACTAGGATCTTAGCCAATTGCAGCCCAGAAACCTCACACTTCTCCTCACAAAACCAACCCCCAAACCCTTGATGCCATAACTCAAATGTGCAGTGGAATTCCTTTAATGTGCCTCCAAAATTAGCAAGTGCTTCTCACAGCTAGCTGCTGGCCAAAAGTAGAATCTTGGACCAGAATCCCCTGGAGGGTTGTGGGATGAAATTCACATTCAAATACTTGGATTTGAACCAGTGATAAACATGTTGTCTTCAAGTCAGATGCAAAATGTAAAAGGGGCTTGTTTTCCAGAGCTCAGTTGGCCAAAATCTTGCAGGAATTTTCCTCTCAGACTTGGAAATGTGGAAGCCTTCAGATCCTAACCTACACCCTAACACCAACATAACCTCCAACTGTGGGCTATAGCCTAATCCTGATCCAGACTGGAATAGCTCCTCTTTGGCACATCTCTGACAGCTGCTAGTTAGCAAGGGTAAACTTAGTTCTGTGCATGTACTCTGGTGCCCAAAAACTTGTAGCAGAGCTATCCTTAGGGTGGTATGGGGCCCAGTGCAGCCTCCATGCCATAGGCCCCGCCCCTGCCCCCACTCCACTCCTTTCTGTAACCAGGATGTTCCATGGAGTATGGTGATATCAGCCCCGCGAGACAAAAATGAGGGACACTGAGTGACCGTCGAGTGTTACTCTCTCCAAATGCTCTGGGGGTGGGGGAGAGCTGGCAGATGTGGCAGCTGTGTGGGTCCCACGGTATTAGAGAGATGAGGTGAGGGAGGTAATATCTTTTATTGGACCAATGTCTGCTGGTGGGAGGAACATGTTTGTTCCTTTCACCAACAGAAGGTGGTTAAAAAAATAATTGAAACAAAGCACATGTTAAAAAACAGGTTATTATCAATCATCAAATTATCTAATCCTGCTTGATTAAACGATATCATATAAAGCAACAATCCCTGACAAGCATTGCCTGTTGATGGGGGAAGGCAGATGTCTGTTTAGTTATCAGCTCCCAAATAGCAGGATATGGTCAGTCTCAGGGCCAGCAGAAATGCTTCTATTCCAGCCAAACGGGGGGTAAAGGGAGGCTCTAACCAGTCGGCAGTGGCCCAAACTAAGCACTCACCCAAACCACTCCCACTTCAAGTTAATGTTGAGACTGCAGCTCTGCTGCTGATTAAGGCAGCCTGCCCAAATTGCAGGTGACTAGGAATTCTGCACTGCCCCACAACATAAGGTTACACGCAGCAGTCGGTAAAGTTTAGGGTAGCACCTCTTGTTAATCTCAACTGGCAAATACGAATGTGGATAAAAATAGTGCGGTTTCAACATCCAGCTCCAAACCCAAGCAATACACATGGGCGGGTTCTTTCAGGCAGCGAGGGTGTTTAACCTAGGGCTGTTGTCGAAATTTACAGACCTGTTCTAGAGCTGTCCTCAGAGAGAAGCTGTGTGCTCACTGCACACATACGTTTGTGCGCACACTCACCACCTGCAGTGAGAACGCCAAGGGAGAGGCACCATAGGCTGCTTGCACATAGTTGAAAAGATCAGCCAGCGGTTTTCTCAGCACCCCTGATTAACGCTGAGGGTCTTGCTGCTTGGCTAGAGGTTCCCTGCTGGTAGATGTCAAGCCTTGGATGTTGCATTTTGCTGGCTAGCTACACCTCAGTAGCAACCAGGAGAATAAGGCCAGACCCCTTTATCAGGTCTGATGGCTTTTCATAGAATAGTGGCCAGCAGCTGGAATGAAGCTACGGCATTTTCCTTTCCTTCTATTTTTGGGGGCAGTGGCCTGCGTGGTCCTTCCTGCTTGGAACTTCTCCTGAGGAGCTTGTTGGTGAATTCTTGTGATTTAACTCTGTTAATTACATTTTTTTTTCTTCCTAAATATCACAGTTTTAGGGCTTCCATTTCAATATGCATGTCCTCTAGCCTCACAGATTCAATGGGACATAAGCTCCTAAATTACTTAGGCACTTTTGAAAATGTTACACTCAATCCTTCTAGCCCTCTGAAAACAATTGAGGGTTAATAATGGGAATCCTGCTCTTGAGGTAGCTGGAGTTTTGGGGTCCCCCATGCCTCCCCCCTTTTGCACACTGGGACAGAAAGATCCTGCTTGTATTGATTTATCAACAAGGAGAGCTACATTTGCAAAATATCTTCACAAGTGGGTCAGAAGATTTGCAAGAGCTTTTGTTTTCATACCAAAAAACTTGCATTTGTTCTTGCAAACAGAGGTTCCCATACAGGAATTGAGTGTATGCTTGACTAGCCATTTTCACATCCTTACATGCAAGGTGGTGACTGTTCCCCCCTCCCCCCTATTCTTATGAAATAATTTTAGAAGGTTCTTAAAATTATGATTCTAAAAACTGATAAACTCTCATAGGGTGGCTGATTTGTACTTAAAAACACCAGTCTGGAGACCAAGAAACCAGAGTTTCAGTCTCAGATTTCACTTCTCCTGTGACTCAGTTTACAAAAGTTTCCAAAACAGGGTTGAAATCAACTTTGCAGAGATGTTGTGAGGTTTGAAAAACATTGTGAGATCGTCACATAAAAAGACGTCGATGGGCAAAGTATTCTGAACTGCTCTCAGATTATTGGGCCCGTCGCTTTGCCACACAGGATCGCTCCCTACAGAGTAGTGTCCAGTCCTGTTTTAAATGACTCAGAATTGAGCTTGCACCTTCCGCTAATTCTTCTCAGAGGCTATTCTAATGCCTAATACTGGCCACATCATTAGGTATTTTCTCCTGATCTCAAGCCAACATTTCTCTTGGCTAAGTCCTATATCAATGCCTTAGTCGTGATCCAGAATTGCTGCAGAGTTAATAAAAGTTTTCATTTCCTTCTTGCAGAGAAAGACCCAGAGAAGAAAGTCCCGCAAGCCCAGGCCCACACACCCAGGGAATTGTGTGGCGACTTGGGAAAATTGCAAGCCACCCTCTCCCCCGTGCTGTGACTTCTGCACCTTCTGCCACTGCCGGCTTTTTCAGACTGTCTGCTACTGCCGAGTAGGAAACCGAAACTGCTAAACTCACGCCAGGAATGCAGGGCTGGAACTCAGTCATTAGCTGCTCCAGTGCGGGTTTCAGCCTGTTTGTCTCACGTGTATTGCAAGCAAAGTCTAGAACCTGCCACTCTGGCTGGCTGGCTTTGTGTTCTCCGGACCTGAATGAACACGGGGGTTTACCTCATAGAGCAAACTATCATCCACAAGTCAATCACTATAGAGAGTGTGAGGGATGGGGTGGTGGGTGGAGGCTAACGGATTGACAGAGCATTTACAACAGAGCCAAAGGGGAGTTCCAATCCAAGACGAGTTTCTTTTTCTTACACACACATGACACCTCACTGTAGGCTGTAGGTTTCTATGCAGACTCGGGCTGAACGCCCTAGGCTTTCAGTAAAAGCAACAAGCAGTCCTGTTGTGGTAACTCAAAGATTAACAGGTTTTCAGTGTCTACCTATGGTATGAAACTGGCTGCATTAAAACAAGCTTGGTTAACAGAGCAGGGGGCCTAGTACTTAGAAGATAAGAACGGCCATACTGGGTCAGACCAAAGGTCCATTTAGCCACAGTGGCCAATGCCAGGTGCCCCAGAGGTAATGAACAGAACAGGGTATCGTCAAGTGATCCCCCTCTGCCACTCTTGCCCAGTTTCTGGCAAACAGAGGCTAAGGACACCAGACCTGCCCATCCTAGGTAATAGCCATTGATGGACCGGTCCTCCATGAATTTATCTAGCTCTTTTTTTTAATCCTGGTATAGTCTTAGCCTTCAGAACATCCTCTAGCAAAGAGATCCCTTGGGTGATTGTGCATTGTGTGAAAAAATACTTCTTTTTGTTTGTGTTAAATCTGCTGCCCATTCATTTCATTTGATGACCCCTAGTTCTTGCATTATAGAAAGTACATACCACTTCCTTATTCACTTTTTCCACACCAGTCATTGTTTTATGACCTCTATCATATCCCCACTTAGTCTCCTCTTTCCTAAGCTGAAAAGTCCCAGTCTTTTTAATTTCTCTTCATATGGCAGCTGTTCCGTACCCCGGATCTTTTTTTGTTTGTTTATTTGTTTTTTGCCCTTTTCCAATTCTAATATATCCTTTTTGAAATGGGTGACCACACTCAAGATGTGGGAGTGTCAGGGATTTATTTAAAGAGAATATATTTTCTGGTTTATGAGCTATCCCTTTCTTAATGATTCCCTGCATTATCTCCGCTTTTTTAAAGTCACTCTTCCTCGGCACACGGGGTGGATGTTTTCAGAGAACTACTCACAGTGACTCCCAAGATCTGTCTCTTGGGTGACCACACTCAAGATGTGGGAGTGTCAGGGATTTATTTAAAGAGAATATATTTTCTGGTTTATGAGCTATCCCTTTCTTAATGATTCCCTGCATTATCTCCGCTTTTTTAAAGTCACTCTTCCTCGGCACACGGGGTGGATGTTTTCAGAGAACTACTCACAGTGACTCCCAAGATCTGTCTCTTGAAGTGCGAACAGCGACTTTAGACCCCCTCATTTCAGACATATGTTTTCCAATGTGCATGACTTTGCGTTTCTCAACATTGAATTCCATCTGCCCTTTTATTGCCCAGTCACCTACCTTTGTGAGATCTCTTTGTAGCTCTTTGCAGTTTTCTTACCCCATGTGGTTTGCCTGCGGGGACAGTGCCACGTGTTATATTGGAACCAGGATCCCATGCTATAAGTGCCACCTCCCCACACATGGAGTACAGCAGGGATATAACATGGCTTTGGACCTATCCTCCCAGCTAGGCCCAGGCAGTGTTCCGACTCTACGCAGTGTCAACACAGCCAATTCCAGGGGCTCCCAGACCCCTGGGGATCTTACCAGGGCACGGGGAAGTACTGATTAGTCTGAATTCTTAGAGGTCCCCCTCGTCTTTCTGTCTTTGCTGGGAGGGCTCAGCAGCATAATGCTTTCAGCTGGAGGATCCTCTGGCCCCTTGTCATCAGGGACAGACCTGGCAAATCATGCCAGAGGGAGTCGGAGCAGGGCTCAAAGCCAGTTTTAATGCTGAAGGGGTTCTCACCCCATCTCAGCTTTTGACGTCTACCCCCATTCTTCTCTGACGGCAGGCTCTATGCCCTCCACATTTCGTCTCTCTTCTGCAGCCCTTTCCTTGCTCCTCCCGACACTGACAGACATCCACGGACCACTGTGTCTGGTACCTATGGTCCAGCTAATGCTATAAGGTTCCCCCCCCCCCCCCCAAAGTGCTTCTATGAGCAGTCTGCTGGCCGTTCTCGCTACAGGACATCCTGGCTATAAGTCCAAGGTACGTTCCAAAAAACTTGGACTTACAGCAAAACAACTTAAAGTGGGGAAGTTTTTTCCACAGCTGACTTCCATTTGTACAAATTGCGGGGGACGCTGCACAACTTAAGAGCGGGGAATAAGAGGACTTATAATGCATCAGTTCCTACAAGCATCAACGACTTTAGTGCAGAATGGATGGATACCGGGGCAACTTATAGCAGGGATGCCTTGTAGCAGCCTGGAGAGGGTCCTGTGCCTACATCCTCTTGTTCCCTATCCAGACCCATATAGGGGTCCTGTTACTTTGTTTCAGCTGATTATCGCCAAGTAGAGTTGAGGGCTACAAGATGTTCTGTAAAATCAAAGAAAACTCAAAAGAGAGATACGCTCTGAAGCTATTCTGGCAACGGTTACTCATAAGATGTTTCCCTCCCCCCACCCCAACGTAAAGCCCAGAGCTCGAGACATAGGCCAGATGTTGATGGGGAGCAGATGATTAGTCTGTCAATCTGTCTCTCCATAAAGTTAAAAGAGAGAAAAACCTTGGAGAAGTTAAACAAAGACAGACCAGCCCCCGTGTGCATTCCTTCTGCTACCGGCTGCCATCAATCTTGCCAGCTTGGATTCTATTAAAATGCTCCTCGTTATTTCTTTTAATCAGATGTACGCATTCAGAGCTGGTACACAATTTGGGCAGGGAAAAAAGGGAGCCCAGAAAAATCGAATGTACCAGAGACAGGCCAATCGGGCCAAATTCCGACACCTTTACTCAGACTGGGGAGTGCACCTTGCCTGCCATAGATGTGCTCAGCCTAAGTTTGCAGAATCTGACCTAAAGTGATATTTCCATGGGCCAGAAGAAAATGTCCCGAGTGGCCATTATGCCCATCCTAATAGTCAGATGGCACCTGGGAGTCCGGAGGGCGAATGAAATGCGTTCTTGAGTGCGGTGCTCAGACGCAGTAAGAACCTGAGAGCGCCTTCACCAAGAGCCTTTGCTAAGACCATAGACACAGGAAGGGTGTGAGTGCACAGCGCGCAACCGTGCCACACGGCAACTTCCCATGTGGACACCGCCAGAGCGCCGTGCAAGTCCTGCAGCGCCACCTGGCTCGCCACGCTCCCCAGGAGAAGTTCGGCTCCAGGACTTCCACAGCTCCCCAAGGCTGCCGGCACAAAATGGCTGCCGACCAAGAGATCTAGTGTTCAACCTCTCCCCTGTTCCTATCCCTGCACTTAAAGGGGACATGCTGTTTTAATGGTGGTTTTTTTTTTTTTGCTCAACAATTTTTCCCCCCCCCCCACGCTTTTCTCTCTTCAACATAATTTTTTCCCGGTGTTTTTTTGGGGGGGGGAGGTCAGTATTTTTGTTTCAACCATCTGGCAATCCTACCTCCAGTCCTGCAAGGGGTACTGCACATAGAGTCAACCGCCAGCTGCTCAGCACAGCACCCCCTTGCAGACCAGGGGCAGGGAGCGAGAGATTTCCCGTGCTCCCCCTGACCCCAAGCCCTGATTGGTGGGGGAAGCGCACAAAGTCTCCTTCCACTGCCAGGGGTGCGGGAGCCTAGAAGGAACCGCCAGCTGTACCACCAGCTGTTCTGAACAGTTGGTGGTTCTCTCTGGTGTAATGGGGGGCAACATCTTCATGTGCTCTCTCCCACCCCCCAAGCCAACCAGGGTTTGCGGGAGGGGAAGCATGGAAGTGTCCTGTCTCTGCCCCTTCCGCCCAAGGCCACACCCCTTGCAATTTCTGAAGTGGCCCCTCGTCTAAAATTATTGCCCACCCCTGCCCTAAACAATGCTCAGCTCTGTGTTTTCTGCAGCCCTGGACTTCTGGGCCTCAGCTCCTGCCACTTTGATTTACCTGAGCAAGCAGTGCCCTGGACTGGAACAGAAACATTTGCTTGAATGAGGATTGCTCAGATGAGGAAGTAGCAGCAAGATCAGGGGCTGCTGTATCCGAATGCACATTCCTCCAGCTTTCCTCCCTCTGGCGGATTGTGTGATGCGCTGAGTGGGTCCAGCGAGACGCTGTGTGCCTTCAACTCCCTCAGAGCTACGTCAGCATTTTCATGAGCAACCTCAGCCTTGCAGGATCTCCAAGCCCGCTAGCAGCATGAAGCCTGTTCACGAGATGTGAAGACCCAGAGGGATCGGATATGCCAGACGAGTGCCCAAGCTTTTGGATGCATTTCCAAGCTGGACAGAATTGGGGAAAATTGTAAGGAATTTTAAAAATTCTCTCTCACTTTCTACTGATGCAAAGCAGCCCACATAGCTATAGAGATACAATCTACACAGAAGACAGTCTGAGTTGGGCAGGTCTACACTAGGAAATTATTTCGAAATAGCTTATTCCGAAAAAAATAACTGCTGGAATAAGCATTTCAAAATAGCTTGTCAATGCTACAGGTTGGACCTCTCTCTGGTCCAGCACTCTCAGGACCTGACTGGTCCTGAACGAGGGAATTTGGTGGACCAGAGGAGGTCCCCTGCCACTGGCTCCTCAGACCACCTTCCCTCCCCGCTGCCAGCTCCAGCCACCCCCATCTGCCAGGCTGCTATGGCCCCAGCAGGCAGTAGCCCACACTGCCCTAACCCAACCCCGTTATCGTAGTTGCCGTGTCTCCAGCTCTGGCCCCGCTATTGGGGCTGCTGCATCTCCAGCCTTGGCTCCGCTATTGTGGCTGCCACATCTCTGGCCCTCATCCTGCTACTGTGGCTGCTGCGACTGCCACATCTCCAGCACTGCTATTGGGGCTGCCACAGCCCCTGCTGTGCTACCGGGGCTCCGGCGCCAGTCCCAGCTCCAGCCCTGCTGGGCTCCAAGCCACCAGCCCTGTTGCCACCCGGACTCCCACCCAGGACTCCCTGTTCCACGGATGTTGCAGGATGAGGGTGCCCCAGTTTTGAGAGGTCCAACCTGTACAGAGAAGCCTCAAAATGAGTCCAAGGCAGGCTCCCTTATTGTGGACATGCTACCTCGACTTCGAGCCCCAGGAAGCACCGGGGAGTAATTACTTTGAATGACTCTGGGGAGCAGTTATTTCGAAATAGCAGCAGTGGAGCATCCAGACTCTCGCTATTTCGAAATAAGCGTTATTCCCTGAGGAAAGCAGGAGTTGTTATTTCAAAATGACCAGCCCCTTATTTCAAGCTAATGGGCTTGGCAGTGCAGACGCTCCGCTTGTTATTTTGAAATAAGGGGAGTTATGTTGTGGAAGAAAGCAAGCCTTCACTCTGCGTTTGTGAGCAACAAGTAGTCAGAGACAGTTTCTTCGAGCAATATTGCAAGGGAGGAAGAAGCTGCTGTGAGGCAGATCGTCGAATACAAACAATTATGAAGCAGTTTATATATTGTCCATTAGATATAATAACATTAAACAGTCTCCTTCTCATTACAAACACCAATGGCTAACAGTTATTTTAGTTCCACCCAGATGCTCCTAATCTCAAGGTCCCTGCCAGAGTCAGCATTCTATCCTTATCTCTTTATGGAGGCGAGAGGCAAAGGCAGCATCTTATTACAGCTCTCGCATTGTCAGGCCACAAACTTACCCTGACTCTTGCTCTCTTGCTAACAAGACCAAGATGGCTGCACACAAATTCCCTTATTCCCTTTTCCCTGCCTCCACAATGTAGACTAGACCAGGGCTATGGGAGTAGAGGTGGAAAGGGGCACTTAGCCATTCGATGGTGCCTTTTCAGGCTGATTAAGGATGAACATGAATGGCTCAGAAGAGGGCCCATGGAGCCCTTTGGCTGAAGGATGACGAGTGCAGTACAAAACACCTTGGTGGGGGAGGAAGTAGACAACATCCAGGATTTCAACAAGGAGACTGAGATTTCACCACACAAAATCTGATTGCTGGTTTCTGATCACCCCAGACACTAAAACTGAGCAGACAGCCTACTTTTTTTCTATGGCTTTACTCTTGTCCACACACTGTTTTCTAACTTTTTAAAATAGGAAAGCAAGGAATAAGTACAGTAATTACTCATTTAACACGTGCCCACTTAACACATTTTCACAATAGAACGATTTTTTTTTAGAGAACTTTTTTGAATAACACGACCGTCCCCGAAATAACATGAATATAATCAAGTGGCAGACTACTTCGTGCGGTGGTATAAGTTGATGAAAACAGTGGTAATACGCATGAGCGGATGAACACACGTGGTCACAGCGCTCCTCTGCTCACTCACGTGTTTATCTTCGTGTTTTAACAAACCGCGGCGACTTGTGTTACTAGATATCTTGTATTGCTAGATATCTAATGTTGATACTGATGACCAAGCACCAACAAAAAATTGACTTTGCCACCACCACCTGAAACGCAACCCCCATATTTTCCATTATTGTTAATGGGAAAATTGACCCTGCATAGCACATTTTCGCTTAGCACGAACATTTTCAGAAACGCATCTATATTGTTAAATGAGGAATTACTGTTCTGAAAATGGGTAACCCTCACTTTCACACCCATTTTTTTACCATTCATCCCATTTTTCCAGTGGAAAGGAGGAAGGGAAGGTGAGACAAAAATTCAAAAACCAAAAACAGAAAACCAAATTTTTTTCCGTTTCCAAAAACTGAAATTAAATTTTAAATTGAAAGAAAACAAATATTGTTTCTAAATACTGGAAAAATCTAATATTTTTGTCTAAATCCATATTTTCAATGTAAATTAAACCATGTTTTCTGGCAGGAAAATTAGACAGTTGAAAAATTTTGACCACCTCTATCAAAATCCAACCATGGAATTGTATTGTAACCTATAGTTGTTTATCTGTGATTAATGGAAGGTAAAGGCTTATCACATATATAGTTATTTGTGTGTGTGTGTGTCCACGCATACTTTATAACAAAGTATTTACAGTCTTTAAGACAAGATAAATATAGTGATAGAGATGTAGCCGTGTTAATCTGGTGTAGCTGAAACAAAATACAGGACTATGTAGCACTTTAAAGACTAACAAGATGGTTTATTAGATGATGAGCTTTCGTGGGCCAGACCCACTTCCTCAGATCAGGTCTGGCCCACGAAAGCTCATCATCTAATAAACCATCTTGTTAGTCTTTAAAGTGCTACATAGTCCTGTATTTTGTTTAAGATAAATATAATCTTGTTTGTTTTTATTAATGGCACAAATGAACTTACAATCAATACTATGAGGCTGTGTCTACATTGGCAAGATTTTGCGCAAAAGCAATCACTTTTGCGCAAAATCTTGCCACCTGTCTACACTGGCTGGGGGTGTTTGCACAAGAACACTGACGTTCTAACGTATAAAATCAGTGTTTCTTGCGCAAATACTCTGATGCTCCCGCTCAGGGATAAGCCCTCTTGCGCAACTGTTCTTGCGCAAGAGGGCCAATGTAGACAGGCAACGTTAATTTCTTGTGCAAGAAAGCCCAATGGCTAAAATGGCCATCGGAGCTTTCTTGCGCAAGAGAGCATCTACACTGGCATGGATGCTTTTGCGCAAAAGAACATCTCTTGCACAAAAGCACATGCCAGAGTAGATGCTCTCTTGCACAAATACTTTAACACAAAAACTCTTGCATTAAAAGTATTTGCGCAAAATCTTGCCAATGTAGACGTAGCCTGAAAGTGTTATCAGTCTCTATTATGTTGCTCTTTTAACAACTGTTCGCATTGAATGAGCATTTATAGAATATGGAAAGCAATAAACGATGTATTAGTAGCAATTACTTCCCATGTTCCGTCTGAAGAGGATTTTTAAGCGGGGAGGAGGGAATTAAATGCTGGTTTCTCTGGGATGGAGGAGCCTCGCTCATCAAATGAATAGCCCAGAGCAGGATGTTTTGAAAAGACATGCGGATGTTAAAGTTTGCAGCTGTACAGAGAGCTAGAGCTATAAATCAGCAGTTGATTTCTACCTGCTGAGAATCTAGTCTCCAACATGGGGGTGAGGCAGGGAAGCTGTGCTTGAAAATTCTTCTGGAGGTCTTTTTGAGAGCTCTGCCATGCCAATTAGAAGTGAAGTATGGCTTTTCAAAGAGGTTTTGGCCACTTTCCCAAATTAGAGATTGACATCAGCTGAAGATAGAGGGGAGGAATTAAAACAAGAAGGCTAATGGGGAGCCACAGATGGAAACGTTTGTGGTAGTCACTCCAGGACA